ACAGAAAATATAACATTCAAGGCTGTTCTTCAACCCTCCTCTTTGGGACATGGTGCCCTTAAAACATAGAACATGGGTGCCTGAGTGGCTCAGTCAGTTAAACATCCAACTTCAGGTCATGATCTCACAGCTCATGAGTTTGAGCTCTGCACTGGGTTCTGTACTGACAGCTCACAGCCTTGGAGCCTGCTTCGGATTCTATCCCTCTCTCTCTGCCCCTCCTATCCTCGAGCTCGCTCTCTCTCAAAAATAAACATTTAAAAAATAAAAAAATAAAACATACAACAAACATGGTTTTTCAGACAGGCATGGGTCTGAATGGTGATCCCATGTGACCTTGGTCTTGTGACCTTGGACAAGTAGCGTAAGTTCTTTCGGTCTCAGTTTCCTCTCTACAAACCGGGAATCACAAACACTTCCCTGGGTTACTGTGATGCTTCAAGACTAAGCAGATAACGCAAATAGCATAGTGCCTGGTATATGGTAGGTATACAATACACAATCACTAATCTTAAGCAGAAAGGTTGATTTCTGGCTCGTTCTGCAGGTATCCAAATTCTACCTAACAAGTCCTTAAAGGGAAAACTCTCCAAATTCTGGATTTGTATATCTCCCACAGAAATGTCAAAGACATGGTTCAAATGAGGGACTGGATGATGCCACATCCAATTCTGGCAGAGATCTCACAGGACATTTAATGAAGGATTAGGTACCCGTCCTGGCATTCCTGCTTCCAATTTCCCTTCCCATTGAGAATCAGCCAACTGCCTGCCAACCTGCCCAAGAGACCACATACCTGTTGACTAAATATTCCTCAACACCTCCCAGGAGCTCCCAGAATTCCCACAAATCATGGGGGCAATCAGTCCCACCACCCACCTCCTGTCACAGGTACTCAGTCTGTCACTATTCCAAGAAAAACAAGAGTGGTTAAGAGTCACATCACCTGTAACTTTCCCCACATATTAGTATCCCCTAAGGTGTGGGTTCTTTGGAAACAACATTTGCTAGGCACCTTCTGTGTTCAATGTGTTGGGACTCCATTCTTGTCCATAAGGTGCCCACTGTCTAGCAGGGGAAAGATATACATAAATCTGATGGTAATCCACTCCCTATCATTTCTTATTCCTTCCTATGCAAGTGTATAGTGCTTATCAAACAAGCAAAAAGGTTATTTTCTTGCTCCATACATATGTTCATCCTGTGCTGGAAGACACATGGGAAATGGGAGACAATGACATGGCCCCTACCTCTGAGGAGCTTACAGCAGGATGAGGAATGATATTAAACATACACGAAGCATTAAAATATTGAAAATAATTAAATGCTAAATATAACTGTTAATTATAATTAAGTGCTTCCTGACCCCACAAAAGCCAAGAATACCCACCTGTAATACCAACATCACAGACCTGGAAATGAGCCAATTCACCTGGGCTTTGGTAAGACCCAAGTGAAGTGGTAAAGGGAACTCTCAGGAGGGCAAAGAAGCTAAAGGGCCTAAATGTTCTTCAGTCTTGGATGATTTTCATCCAGCATGGCCTATCCATCAGCACTGAATGCCTAGCACCCTGGGGCAAAGCAAGGATGAAGACAGATGGTCTCAACTATTGCACCACAAAAAGACTCTTCTAGTGCTTGGCCAGCCTAAAGTTAGAGGGACCATGCTTGGTCCTGGTGAAGGCAGCAATGGCCATGTTCTATTGGGGCTTCTTAAAAAAAAAAAAAAAAAAAAAAAAAAAAAAAAAAAAAAAAAAAAAAAAGTCTAAGCTATTTAGGAACAAGGGAAATGAGGCCCAGATCACCTCCCCCTCATCCCCACTGTTGCCTCTAGACTTGCTGTCTGGAGAGGTCCAAAATTTCGGTCAGAAATTTTATTTGCAACCGGAGGTATATCTTGCCCCCTCTGAGAGATTCCACAGCTGTGCTGCTAAAAATGACCTGAGGTTTAACCAACCTCTTCCCTTCATCTCAGAGGCAAAACATACAACCCTTATGTCCTCCTTGGGGGAGCCTGTCTAAAACTAGTTCCACTGCTCAGGAAAACTGGTGTCAAGGCCAAATGCCTTCTTCTGGGCTCCCCAGGCAAGGAAACAGGAAGAATCCAATACTCAACATGAGGCACTCCAGAATGACTTTGTCACCTCAAAGCCCATAAAGAAGCACTTTTCCACAGACAGGACACTGAGGTGGGAGCTGTTAGGACAGACAGCCACTCATTTCTCTGGTTAACGAATGACTGAAGCCAGTGGCATGGCTAGTCTTCGGATTGGGACTATAGCTTTAAGCAGGCCTTGGCTTAGAACCCGAGGGCTCCCAGCCAAAGCACCATCCTCCCCACCCTCCCCCTGAAATCTGAGGCAAGCCCCACCCAGAAGACTGGGTGATGGTCATGGTGATGGAAAAACAGATCCCCGCATTGTAGCTCAGAACCATTTCACAAAAGGATCTGAGATCCACCCAATGTGATCAGGTACGACCCACCCACAATCCCCAAATACCAAACAAACCAAGGCTTCTCAAGGCACCTTCAGAGTTCCCACCTACCCATTTATGTGAAAAGAAGTACCCTCAGAATCTCAAACAGAGACTTCACAGACCTGGTAAGGTGCCCTCTCTTCCCTGAGTTCAAGAAGGAACCAAGACACAAGACACAGAAGAAGCTACCTTATAAACTTAGGGCCTTGCATCCTCTTTACATTTTCAAAACCGATATAATGTAAATTCCTACATCAGGACCAAGCCCCACATTTACAGGAATCCCTGTTTCTAGAAAAGATATATCAGGATAAGGAAAAGGACACTCAAAGACGCATAGCCACCTGGCCTGTACCCTCTCTGGGTCTTAAAGAGTTAAAACCTAGCCATGGTTTCCTACCAGGACTGAAGCTAATGCAAACCACCTGCTCAGATGCAAGGACCAAGACCAGAGGGTCAGGTTGCTAAGCTTTGGGGTCTGTTCAAGAAAAGTTTCAGTTCCAAGGGTTTAACCAAGTGATAGGTCAAATGCCAGAGGGTCTGAGTTGTGTTGTGGCAGCACTGCTCTCCTTACCCCAAGCCCCCCCCCCAGCTCCTTTTGAGACCATCTTTAACTCACTTACTGCCTGCCAGAACACCAGCCCTACCTCAAGATAACACCAAAGTGAAATTTGGTCCCAGAAAACTACAAAATTGTACTGATCACAAGCCCTTGCCTCCACTGAAAGCTCATTCTCTTAGGTGATAGCTCCCACTCCCAGAATTTCTTGGCCCAAATCCCACACAAACTCCCACCTCAAGGCATCCTTTCCCAAGCCCCACCCCCTCTCTATCCCTTATTTCCAAAGGCTCACAGGCTCAGAGCTCACAAGGGAAATGTCTGAGTGCACGTGGGTGGCTCAGTGGGTTAAGCATCCAACTCTTGGTCTCAGCTCAGGTCCTTGATCTCAGGGTCTTGAGTTCAAGTCCTGCACTGGGATCCACACTATGTGTGGAGCCTATTTTAAAAAAAAATAAGGACACCTGGGTAGCTCAACTGGTTAGGCTCTTCATTCCAGCCCAGGTCATAATCTCAAGGTTTGTGAGTTTGAGCCCCACATGGGGCTCGGAGCTGACAGTGGGGAGCCTGCCTGGAATTCTCTATCTCTGCCCTTCCCACCACCCCGCCCCCCACCCCCTGCTCTCTTTCTCAAAAATAATAAACATTTATTTAAAACAAAACAAAATGCCTGTCCTATCTATAAGCCCATGTTCAATGGCAAGATTTGCCACTACTTACTCTGACAGCCTGCCTGCCTGCAGCCATAAAAATTCCATGCTCTGTACACCTTTCTAAGAGATATCCCACCATCGAATAACCCCCACATCCAAAGAGTAAACACCCTGATCTTGAGGGA